GAGCGTCACGAATTGATAAACCGATGCAGGCCAAGAGAAGGCCAGACTAAATATCGCAATAATGTATTAAAGAATACTGCATTAATAGGTCAAGATGGCGGGGCAAAGAGCTTAACAGCGGGATCGTGTTCCAACGGGACTAACAACAGCGGGAACAATGTAAGCGGAAGCGGTGGCAAACTCAAGCGCGTGCGTACAATTTTTACGGCCGAGCAATTGGAGCGGCTAGAAGGAGAATTCGCCAGACAACAATATATGGTAAGTGGAGACTATTTATTAAAGATTTTCGAATTTTTTAATCGGTTAATCTCGATTATTCGTAAAGAATTGAAATTTGCAGAAGCCCATAAATAATTGCTTGGATCGTTCGCTAGCCAATCGCCTACGCTTTACGTATACGTCGACGAATCAAACACGACTTTTTATACATATACATACAAATTCAATACAATTAAGATTATAAATAACAGTATTGTCAATTGGCCATGACAAAATGGCCGGAATCTCGTATATACGCGCACATACACAAATCAAATACATCCGAAATATCTCGTTAATGCGTGGCAATTAATGAGAGCAATTATGTAATTCAATACATCAGTTGGCGGTCGGGGAAAATTACGTGGATAAGAGCTAGCTAGCTACCCGAGGACCTCGAATTCATCCTTAAATCCTCGATGAACGTGTAATGACAAAATTAAAAAAAAAAAAAAAAATGATATTCTTATATGCAGGTGGGACCAGAACGACTTTACTTGGCGCACGCCCTTCGACTTACAGAGGCTCAGGTGAAAGTCTGGTTCCAGAATCGGCGAATAAAGTGGCGCAAGCTCAACCACGAGAAGCAGAGCCAAAGGCTGCACGAGTTACACCAGAGCGGCATATCGGCAATGGAGCACGAGGACAGCAATGAAAACGTAGTCGAGTGGTGAATCTCCAAAGCTTCGCGCTTCATTGGACATTCATGCGCGTTAGTCGTGAAGTATATTTTGCTTTTTCTTTAAAGCCACTTGCAGCTGGCTGTACGAAGTTCAAAATTGTCGATTTCAAAAACGAATGACTGAGCTGGCGGTCCCGACGTGGCCGCCTCTTATTATCAATAATGACAAAATCAACGATCGAATAGTTGCGAATGAGCGCTAAAATAGATAGGGGATCTCGAGGAGAAATCAATAAGTAGATGATTTCATGTTTTCAAGGCAACGAAGCCACTCACTTTGCTACGGGGAGAGAATATTATTTTCTAATATTTAGTTCTCGGATGGATGGATAATAATAGCGTAGCTTTTGAAAATTCACGTGTCAATAATAAATCAAATTTGCGATTCGTTGGACGTTCTTCGATCAATCGATAAATATTTCGAGACATTTTCCTGTCTTTCATACACACATCGTTTCATTCGATTATTTACGCTATACTATTTTATACTTCAATTTAAATTTATGCAATAAATTTTTTACGTAAAATTCATTTGAATAAACAATGACAAATATCTATGCGTACTTTACGTAGTTAACGTTAATTATGCAATTAATTACATTAGCTTCATTCGATATAAAAATGTATCAATTAGGAAGATTCATTTTTTTTAGTTTATATTTTTAAAGTATGCTTTATATATTATAATATATTATAATTCAATGCCCAATAATTGTTTTAAATGCTAATTTCCTATACCGAAGATTTCATTTAAATTTCATTTAAATTAAATTTATCGTAAACATTTACAATCTCGAATTAAATATTATATTATATGCGGTATGTTTAACTTAGTCCTTATGTCCACATCATAGTTTTATCAGGCGTTTGGTTGATCCTTCCTGATTAATGTTGCAAATTAGCAATTGTTATCACATTTCATAAGTTATAACAGATATCTCGAAAAAAATTTGAAAGAATTAAAAGAAAATTTAATCGTTTACCTTTAACACTTGATCGATCGATTAATAATTTATTATCCAGGCATTGATATTTTTGTATATATTGACTTCTTATTAATTTTCAATGTTATAAATTATATTTATTAAAATTAATAACGGATATTATTGAAATTATTGGTATCTTCGCGCCTGATTGAATGTCTTTGAAATTAATTTCTTCTAAAAGTCAGTAACTCCTTTATAGTCAATTAAAAGAATTATATCGATCATCAATTATCTAATATTTTATTGCACAAAATGTAAATGAATCATTTGGATGTAGAATTATGAAATACAATAAGAATACCGAATTAATGGAAATGGAATAATTAAATAATGTGAGTGTTTAGACGATTATAAACATTTATTTATATATATATATCATAAGTGTCAGTTCTTTCTGAAATATTGTAGAAATAAAAGTAATTTGTTTGGAAAAATATTGTTACATATTTAGACAAAGAATTATCATTGTTTTACTTCGTTATATAAAAGAAAAATTATGCATGATGAAAATTTTTTTAAATGTATAGAGCAACATTTCACGAGTTCATACAAATTGTGTCATCGCACAAAAAAAACATGGCAAATAACTTTTTTTTTTTTTTTTTTTTTTTTTTTTTTTTTTTTTTTTTTTTTTTTTTAAAAAGAAAAAATTGTAATATAGGGGGATTTTTTTTTTTTTTTTTTTTTTTTTTTTTTTTTTTTTTTTGAAAATGCAATAATGTCGATATACAGGGAACAGATACAAAGTTACAAATGCTTATAAATTTTTATTTTTACACAATTTAATATGCGATGCAAATAAATTTCATCTTTCTTTATGTATCATCCTTATGGAATTGTATAACTGGTAACTAGTTAAATACTACTAGTTTATGTACTATTAAATAAAACTAATAATAATACGTACGAATTTAAATGTAACTTCTCCGATTATCACAAGTAAGTATTGAAAAAATATAGTAGTGACAAAACAATAAAATATAATTAAATTTTTATTACAATTACTATACGATTCTCATTAATTATATTTTTATTATTATTATTGTTATTTTTATGATCATTATTATTGTTATTATTATTATTGTTGTTGCTGTTGTTGTTGTTGTTGTTATTATTATTATTATTATTATTATTATTATTATTATTATTATTGTTGTTGTTGTTATTGTTATTATTATTATAATAATTTTTGTACTTATAAAATTAATAAAATTATAAATATTATTTAATTATTGTAGTAGTCTGCGATCTTTTAGATTTATATTAAAAATAACGAGCTATGCTTTTCGTCAGAATTTATGTAATTAGTAATTGTATAATTGTAGAAGTAATATTATAAAATTTATACAATAATCAATATCAATACTTGTCAAGTCATTACTTATTTTTTACATACTAAAACGAGAAAGTAAAAATATTCATATTTATATTAATTGTTTCATGAAATGGGATAAAAATTTATTTGAAATAAGCAAAAATAATAATAACTAATATATTCATACATTTTTTAAATATAATTTTTATTGAATATATAAATTTTTTGCACTGTGAGATTAATATTGAGTGAATATTAAAAATTTTGTTTTATATTTAGTACATCAATTTGTATGAATAATACTAAAAATAGTTACTTTTATAATATTTATACAAATTACATACTAATAACATAATAGGTACCACTATGCTATAAGCAGTACTTTTCTACAAGGGATTAATTTATTAACAGTAAACAATATTAAATACCGTCACGTCGAAAAAAATATAGAGATTTATAATTGATTATTTATGACTCGGTAATGTACAATAAGTTATGACCAATAATCTTATTTTCAGTTCTCATTGCAATTGTTAGTGTTATAATACTACACACATTTTATGTAACACTCATTCGCAAAAATGTACTTTTCATATACTAAAAATCCAGAATAATAAAAGACGCATACCTGGTGTTTTTAAATTTTTAATTTAGTAAATTTATTTTTAATTAATAATATAAATAATATAAATTTTCATAAAATTTTTACTGCATATTATCTATATATATATATATATATATATATATATATATTGCGATTGGATCTTACATCGATTAATTTCTCCAGAATTATTATCAATTTAATTGAAAAATTTATTTCTGTTAATTATATACTATCTAAACGAACGCATTTATATGAATTTTTATTTAATTTTTCTTCAATATATTATTCACATATAATATAAATATGTATATTAATTTAATTTTTTTTTTTTTTTTTATTTGTATTCACAATGATTTCTTTAGGATTAAATTCATTAGAAAAGTTCAATAGTTCGTTAAACAATGTAGCATTTGATTTTTATTATTTCTAGTTGAAGATATTAAATATATTACCACTATTAACCACTATTAAGACTATTAAGAAATGCTACTGCGTGGCAATGAAAACTTGGTCCTATTTGCATTTTAATTTTTTGATTACAGATAGAAACTTCATTTACACTCATTTTATTGTTCGAATTCATCGAGAAATAAAGAAAGATTTTTATTGAACTGTTAGATATCGAAATACCTTCGAAACTGTTAGATTCGAAAAATGAGTGTAAACATACAATACGCATGGTAAAAAAAAATATTTTGTTAATAACCAATTTATGGTCTTAAAACAAAATGAATAAATTCAATGTGCTCTCTCTCTCTCTCTCTCTCTCTCTCTCTCTCTCTCTGTGTGTGTGTATGTGTGTGTGTGTGTGTGTATTAAGCGATTTCATACAATTTAAATTGAATAGAATATTATAGATATAATAGCATAATAAAGGGTAAAAAAAAATTTGTTTAATCCTCAGTTGCATGACGGTAATTTGTAATAAGTTATGCCTAAAAATATTGTTATTTATAATTTTTATGCTATATTTGCCTTTCCCTTCTTCTTTTTATACAATCATTGTTTTATTATGTGGTTAACTCTTACTTTGTATATTCATTGTTAATGTCCATATAATTTATTTTTATTAAACGATATATTTCTTTTTTATTACTCGTAACTGTTTATTTTTATATAAACGAATTATCTTTAAAGATTAATTGAACGCAAGATTTAACCCACTACATTACTTTATTTCATTTTGATAAAATTCGTTAATATTTATCGCTATTACTCAGTCAATTACAATATGATTATAGACATTTATATAAAAAAAAATGTAGCACTGACACATGAAAGATAACTTCAAAAGATAAAATTATATGGATATGTATTAATTGTGCTTATTAAAAGAAAAAAAAAAAAAAAAGAAAAGAAAAAATGAACTCATAATAAAATCACTAATCGATAAAAGCTAGATCTGGTATATTAAAGAGGTTTATTACACATTGACATGACGTATTAATAATGCACATATGTTTGTGTAGGAATAAAGCATTTTGTTTAATTGAATATTTAATTAGAAAATTGAAATGCTTAATAGGATATGAGAAGTATAGATATTTTATTAATTCAGTGCAAATATATTCGTAATATTAATTAAAACTGCTTAAAAGTTAGAAAGTTTACTTACGAATGAAGTGAAGAGTGAAATTATCATTAGCGCATATATACTCGTACGCGCGCGCACGCGCGCGTGCGCAGGCATCTATATATATATATATATATATATCATACATATGTGTATATATAAATAAATAAATAAATATATATGCAAATATGTTTCCTTACACGAGCCATGTAATTTCTCGTTTTTTCTTCCTTGTATTTAGCGTTGAGAAAACAGCTAGTAACAAAATTTAGGAATTATTCTAAATTATTAATTAATCGATATGTTAATTTGTAATCACAATATAAACTTTAAACTTGAAAAGAAATCATTGCTACATTTGGCAACTGCGTCGTACTTGAATAGGAGAAGCGTGGCAACGTTTACCTTTAAATACGATCGCTTCTCTCTCTCTCTCTCTCTCTCTCTCTCTCTCTCTCTAGCACCCATCCTCGTACTTGTGTACACTACTTTTGTTTTACAAGCGAGCAATAAAATTTACCGCGTAAACTAGTAGCCATGCGCAATCTAATGATACATTGTCTAGATTCGAATGGGACGCTGACGTCAATGCACTGCTCGCCAATGTGACTTTGAGCGCGCATGTCACACATAGTCGCACGTGCTCCCATGCATATTCTCTCTCTCTCTCTCTCTCTCTCTCTCTCTCTCT